CAACCACCACAGTAAAACTGTGTTCACAAATATACTTACAAATATATTTCTAAGTACCAGCTTTATTCTAAGCTTCAAGATGAACACCCAAGAAGGAAAAAGAACACCTTGAATTCCTATTAGAAGTTCAGTTTCTTTTGGTTGCTACCAAACTTCCCCTCTTTCCACCAAAAAAAATTTGCATTTTTATTTCATACATGAAGCAAGAAGGTCAAGGTCACATTTCTTCTGTAAAGATTGGTGACAGGTTAGAGGGTGGGTAGTTTCTGCAAGAATGATCCTTTTTTTTTTTTAAAGAAGGAATCAGAGAAGTAAAAGCAGAACTGACTGACTCAAAGCAGAAGTCTAACATGCTTCAAAGGGAGAAAACCATATAAAGTCATGATATTCCACTTAAAATGATTAATATTTATTTGTAATGCTAACTTCTAGCATCTAAAAGTGTAATAGAAAGTAAAATGCTTCTTCACACATAGCTGAATAGGAAAGAAATTCAGTTGAGAATGAATTCAGGGTAGTGAATATTAGGCATAAGCTTGTAGTTTACCCATAACATCTCAACACTATCTTTTAACTACAGTTACCAAAACTAGGATCCATTATTCTTTCACAAACTAACAAATTATATTCCTATCCCAACAGATTACCAGTATGCCCATGGACATGGAACACACAGGACATTACCTACATCTTGCCTTTCTGATGACAACAGTTTTTTCTTTGTCTCCTGGAACAAAAGCAAACTATACCCATCTGTGGGCTAACAGTACTACTTCCTGGGATTCAGTTATTCAAAATAAGACAGGCAGAAGCCAAAATGAAAACATTAACACAAACCCTATAACTCCTGAAGCAGATTATAAAGGTAATTCTACAAACATGCCTGAAACATCTCACATCGTATCTTTAACTTCTAAATCTGAACAGGAGCTTTATATACCTTCTGTCGTCAGCAACAGTCCTTCAACAGTACAGAGCATTGAAAGCACAAGTAAAAGTCATGGTGAAATTTTCAAAAAGGATGTCTGTGCGGAAAACAACAACAACATGGCTATGCTAATTTGCTTAATTATAATTGCAGTGCTTTTTCTTATGTGTACCTTTCTATTTCTATCAACTGTGGTTTTGGCAAACAAAGTCTCATCTCTCAGACGATCAAAACAAGCAGGCAAGCGTCAGCCTAGAAGCAATGGTGACTTTCTGGCAAGCGGTCTATGGCCCGCTGAATCAGACACTTGGAAAAGAACAAAACAGCTCACAGGACCCAACCTAGTGATGCAATCTACTGGAGTGCTCACAGCTACAAGAGAAAGAAAAGATGAAGAAGGAACTGAAAAACTTACTAACGAACAGATGGGTTAGTGAAGAAAAATGCAAAGTAGCAATGAGAAGGGTTATGGAATAAAAATGAAGTCAGTTGGTATTTAATCCCAAAGTGTTGTTCTGATGATCTAAAATTTGACATGGTAGACCTTGTAATTTAGAATCAAGTGGGTGAGACAGAAAGAAGTATGCCTGCTTAATTACTTAAACTGTGTACTTTTGTTTTGACACTGAATATTTTAAACAGCAAATAATAAAATAACTAAGCATTTGAGCAAAGTTTGAAGGATAAATTGAGGAAACTGATTAACAGAGATAGAAAGAGATAACTGAATAAATATTCCCTATGTAGCAATAGTGGTTAGATGACCTTTGTCTGAATGTAATTAAACTTTGAAGAGTTTTAGTGTCCTTAAAGCCAAGTATATGCTTTAACATCAAATGGAAGTCAAATTCCTAATGCAAAGATAGAGCTAAACTGTGCAATTTAATGGTACCTTCTTTGCTGGATGTGGCAGAATCCACACCAGCTTATCAATCAACACAGCTAATTTTAGTCTAGATGCTTTTATCTTTCATATGGCACACGTAAGAAAGTGTTTTTCTACTATTAATATTAAATTAAAACCTTTAATTTTGTATAATAAATTAAAACTCAGAATAAACCTGTGACTATGTATATTTCCATTCACTTTATTACTTTAGAGAACACGTTGTAAAGATCAGTAAGAAACAGAGCATGACTAAAATAAATAAGATTTATACCCACACCAATAGGCTAAGGTAAATGTAAAGTATGTTTTACTGTTTAAGATTAATAATATTCATCTTTTCTATAAATACTACTTACTGGAACGTTAACAACAAGTACTCAAGGGTTGATTAATATTTGGACTTCAAGGATGCCAAGTAGCCTAATGATTGATTTGTGGGGTGCGTGTGTGTGTGTGTGTGTGTGTATGTTCAAATTTGGAAAACTGGATACTTCAGGTTATTATTTAACCTTTCAATAAACTGGCTTCAAGTAAAATAATAACTTACATTTAAGTTGAGACCCCCCCCATCTTCAATTAAATATATTACAAAAATTGGTTTGACAGACTTTCCAAATATCTACTGAAATTAACACAGGGCTAAGATCAGGCCACATTTCAAAAAACTCATCCCTTATTGGGCATTTATTTTGGCCAATATACTAACCATTTTAAAAAATATTTTTTATACATTTTTTCCCAAGTATGACTACAACCTTACTCTCCCTTCTAAGCTAGTGATTCTTACCCTGGCTGCATGTCAGAATCACCTGAAAAGTTTTTTAAAAACACCAATGCTTAATCCCTATGTCTTCCTTCTGATGCAACTGGGATGGGGTGAACTCTAGGCACTGGTAATTTTTACATAACTCTCAAGGTGATAGCTGCTCTTGGTCATCAAATTTAAACGTCTAGGTATTATTAAAATGAGAGAAAAAAATAAAGCATCATTTTTATCATCAATTTATTAGCAATTTGTAAAAACCAAATCTATTCTCTAAACAGGAAATCATAAAAATATTATTCCAGACAAAGTTAAGTGTCAACAAAGTAAAAAAGAAAGCATAAGAATATTCATGCCAGTCATGGTGACTGAAATCAGGTTATCTTTTGAGCGGAAAAATGACCCAGATTAGAAATGAAACTGGACAGACTTTCCATTCTGTGCAAAAATTGAAAATTTGAGATTGTGCACCAACACATCCAGTAATAACACAAAGCATCCTTGACTCAAGGGTCGTTAAATAAATACTTGTCAGAGAAAATTAAAATAAATTAGTATCATTATAAAACTAGGAAATTACTTTCATATTCAACATACTAGTCAAACATTTTCTCACCAGACAGCTTCTACCACAGGGATATTTAAAAGAATATTTAAAATTCACTACTTACTATCTTGGCTACTAAACATATACTCTCAGAATGATACTATCCAATGATAGTTACTGAACAAACAGAAGTGGTTCCTTTCCAAATGACAGGTATTTAAAAATGGTAGGTAAGATACCTTTGAGTTCAAAATTTAAGAGACATTTAGTTTTGAACAAAAACACACTCCCTATCCCTGGGTATTACAGTTCACCAGCTTAATTCAGAGATTTAAAAATAGTGAATCAGGTCAGGCACAGTGGTTTACACCTATAATCCTAACACTTCAGAGGCCAAGGTGGGAGGATCACCCGAGGCCAGGAGTTCAAGGCCAGCCTGCACAACAAAGCAACAGCCTCATCTTTACAATAAATAAATAAGTCAGCCAGCCAGCACAGTAGCATGTGCCTGTAGTCCCAGCTACTCAAGAGGCTGAGGCAGGAGGATTGCTTGAAGTCAGGAGTTCGAGACCAGCCTGGGCAACACAGCAATACCCTGTCTCTAAAAACAACAATACTTCCAAAAATCAGTGAATCAAAAGCTTTATATAGCATTTGAGTATATTATGCTTTATAGTAGGAGCCCGTTAAAAAAAAAAAAATCTATTCTTTTTGCACCAAGCTGTAAATACCTTGAAGTTAAGAACCAGGTCATAATAACCTGTGTTTCCTGCAGTGACCAGGAAAAAGCAGTGCATGGGTTAACACATTCCATATCTACTATAATATGCACCATGCAAGGCACATTACATTTATTTAATTCCACCATAAGCTTATAAATTACGAATTATGATCTCCATTTCTCAAGAGAGGAAAGGTGACTTACCCAAAGAAATTTTTATTCAGATGGACTCACTCTTTTCAATATACTTTGTTTAGTTAACTTCAAAATTTTTTGTATTTTAAATTTTTGTGGGTACATAGTAGGTGTATATATTTAAAGGGTAATGAGATGTTTTGATACAGTCATGTAATGTGAAATAATCACATCATGGAGAATGGGGTACCCATCCCCTCAAGCACTTATCGTTTGTGTTACAAAGGATCCAATTACACTTTTAGTTATTTAAAAATGTATAATTATTAATGATAGTCACCCTGTTGTGCTATCAAATAGGTCTTATTCATTCTTTCTATTGTTTTTTGTACCCATTAACTGGTAACACCATCTCCCCATCTCCTCACTACCCTTTAGTAACAAGTTAACTTTAGTTAAATTCTTATTTAAAAAATGATCCCTAATTTATTTTATTTTCCACTGAGAAGTAACTACTGTGTGGGCAACCAAATAAATGGTTGTGAACTTGAACTCAAAAGTCATCAGTAAAATATTTGGTCAAAATAATTTAATTACAGATATACAAATGGCAAACAGGCATATGAAAAGGTACTCAACATCACTGATGAGAGAAATGCAAATCAAAACTACAAGGAGACATCATCTCACCCCAGTTAAAATGGCTTAACCCAAAAGACAGGCAATAACAAGTGCTGACAAGGATGTAGAGAAAACGGAACTCTCGTACACTGTTGGTGGGATGTAAATTAGTACAACCACTATGGAGAACAATTTAGTGGTTCCTCAAAAAACTAAAAATAGAGCTACCATATGATCCAGCAATCCCACTGCTAGTATATACCCAAAAGAAAGGAAAACAGTACAAAGAGATACCTGCACTCCCATATTTGTTGTAACACTATTCACAACAGCCAAGATTTAGAGGCAACCTAAGTGTCCATAAAGAGATGAGTGGATAAACAAAATATGGTACATATACACAATGGAGTATTATTCAGCCATAAAAAAGAGTGAAATCCTGTCATTTGCAAAATAATGTAATTATACTTTTACCCTGGACTTTTTACACTATGAGGAAATAACATTACATTTAGTGGTTACCTACAGTGGGTGAGGCATTTATACATGTTATATTATGCTATCTTATTTAATTCTCACAATAACCCAATAAAATATTCCTTTAGAAGAAGAAATGGTGACTCAGAAGTGCAGAGTCTTGCCTAAGGTCATACAAGTAAACAGAACACATCACTCATTTCTTATGAGAAGAAATCTCACTATAACCCAACTGGCAGCTTTTCTTCTTAGAACATGTAATTTTCTCTTCAGGACCCCACCCTAAATATTTAATTTATATAATCATATTACTAGAGCATCTCAAATATTTATTTACATATATTAATTAAAAGCACTCAAATCATAGGGCTCCAAAATGTATTTCAAAATAAATTCTGTTAAAGTAATATATTTCTTAGTCACTTTGTGGTTTATTGCACTTCCGGAACCAGCTATTGATAAACTTCCTCTTTTTCTACAGAAGCTATTTCAGTTTGCTAGAGGAACATTTTAAATCTGAATCGAACCACCCATTTTCCTTTCTTAGCCAAATCACCAAAATGTGCAGTTAGAACAAGAATTTAGCATTCTGCAAAAGAAGTTAACAGCTGAGGTAAGAAAATTTTCACACAATTTGGTTTGATCTTGCTTTATATAAAATTTATTTTAAAAACTGTCATTAGTGTTTTAAACTTAAACTCTGATAGTCTAAAGATGTCTATAGCAGGTTTTTGTGGTTTTGTTGCATAGAATTAAAAAATACTCAGTGTTCAGCTTGCCTCAGAAAAACATTTTCACCTAGGTTTGTATAAGACCTTTTAAGTCTATTTAATCTCACACACACACACACACACACACACACACACACACACACACAGAGACATATATTGAAACGGAGTCTTACTCTGTCTCCCAGGCTGGAGTACAGTGGCATGATCTCAGCTCACTGCAACCTCCACCTCCTGGGTTCAAGCAATTCTCCTGCTTCAGCCTCTCAAGTAGCTCGGATTACAGGCGCCCACCACCATGCCTGGTTAATTTTTTTGTATTTTTAGTAGAGATGGGGTTTCATTATGTTGCCCAGGCTGGTCTCCTACTCCTGACCTCGGGTAATCCGCTCACCTTGGCTCCCAAAGTGCTGGGATGACAGGAGTGAGCCACTGCTCCCAGCCACAGTCATATTTGTTAACCTTAGTTTTATAATTAAAAATAAACTATGGTCATGGCAGATAAAGGTAAGGGTTAGAAACAGAACTAGATTCCATGGGCTATGACTGAATTTATAACCTCCAAAATATTAATTGTTAAAAGTTCTAATGTACTTTTAATAAAATTTTCCTGTACACAATATAATCCATAAATTAAAATTTTTGTATCCCCTTTAGTTTGCATAGTAAGAATGGTCACCTTCACTCAGTTTAGAAAGAAAAAGAAATCAGATGTGGTATTTGATTAATATTATTACTATTATTATATGTGCTTCATTATTATTATACATGCTTTATTTTTTACATATAGATTTTTATACTTAATAATGATGACATGAAAACATTATGGCTCATTTTGAAAGCTTACTAAGCCAAAAGTGTTATTCAATAGTCAAACATGCATGCATATATTAATATCACCTACGTGTTTATGTCATATTATGAGACTTTAGAACATAGTATAAGATAGAAGAAACCCAAAGAATAAACAATAGAAAATTGTTAATATGCACAAAAGATGCTTGCTGTGGGTAAAATGGGCAAATAAAAACTGCAAAGAGTATTTTACACACACTTGTAATTTCAGGGAATAATATGTTCATAGTGGGTGATATCCCATTTCAACACTTAATAAATACTCATGACTTTCTCTTAGAAGGATTTCTTCTAAGTAATTATTGTGGAAGTCAGAAAATAAAGATATTTATCTCTTTTTCAGATTAGGCTTGTCTATGTATTTTTCTGCTTCTAATATTTAATTTCATTATGCATATTAAGTCATAAAATCTTATTAAATTTTTTTCACTATCATATTTCATAAAATTAAACTAAAAAATTTCCCATGAATCCTTATGGTGTGTTTTTGTCATCATAGAATCCCATACATTTGTTTTTTTGTTGCTGTTTTGTTTTGTTTTGAGACGGAGTCTCCCTCTGTCACCCAGGCTGGAGTGCAGTGGCACGATCTTGGCTCACTGCAACCTCTGCCTCCCAGGGTCAAGAGATTCTCCTGCCTCAGCCTCCCGAGTAGCTGGGATCACAGGCACCTGCCACCATGCCTGTATTTTCGTATTTTTAGTAGAAACAGGGTTTCACCATATTGGTCAGGCTGGTCTTGAACTCCTGACCTCAAGTGATCGGCCCGCCTTGGCCTCCCAAAGTGCTGGGATTACAGGCAGGAACCACTGCGTCTGGCCCCATACATGTTTTTAAAGGGTTATTCCCAAAACTACAGTTTACTAGTAGTGCCTGTGTTTTCCAGCTAATTCCTACATAATTCCATTTAGAAGGGAACTTTAATTCTGATTAAGTTTGAATTGAGAAACATAAATCTGATGACTTTTGACGTCCAAGCTTTAAAAAAAATCACCATAAAATTTTCAATAAACTAAAAAAAGGAGAAAAAAAATTTTTCAGTAAACTTACTTTAATTACTTTACATATAATTCCCGCCAACTCACATCTCCTTCCTTCATAAAGCATTTCTATTTCATAACTTTTCTATGAAAGACAGTATAGCACATATAGTGAAATGTGATAGAAAGAAAGGATTCTGGCACAAGATTAGCATGATTTTTGTATTAGTGCCACTACTTAGAGCTGTGATACTGCCAAGTTACCCAACATCTTGGTGTCTCAGTTTCCTTATCTGTAGGATGAAAAAACCACCACCTAGCTAATTAAAATAGGATACTGCTTAACCTTTGGTGGGTGCTCAGTAAATGGTCACTATCACAATACAAGATGGTCATCAAATACTTCCTACTGTAGGTGAAGGTCAATTTTTCTTTCCACTCTTCCTCAAGATGCAGAATGGCTGGTTTTTTCCTTTATCGTTTCAAAACTTCACTAGTCAGAGATAATACTACTGCTAAATTTTAATCTATTATGTTTGCATCACAACTTTTATTATATCAAAGTAATTGATACAGCTATCTATACTTGCCTTTTGTCTAGGACACACTCTCCAAATCTTGATTCTCTTTAAAAGACAATGGCATACTTCCTATCATCTGCAACTTAACAGCATCAATTTTAAATGTTGGACTCTTTAAGTACTTATGCACTATATTTATAAGAACATGTCTATGGCCTGGCTTGGTGGCTCATGCCTATAATCCCAGCACTTTGGGAGGCCAAGGTGGGCAGTTCACTTGAGTCCAGGAGTTCAAGACCAGCCTGGGTGACATGGTGAAACCCCATGTCTACAAAAAACACAAAAATTAGTTGGGCATGGTGGCACGCACCTGCAGTTCTAGCTTCTCTAGGGAGGCTGACGTGTGAGCCCAGGAGGTGGAGGTTGCATTGAGCTGAGATTGCACCACTGCACTGCAGCCTGGGTGACAGAGCTAGACCCTGTCTCCGAAAGAAAGAAAGGGGGAAAAAAAAAAAAGGAACATGTCTTATACATGGGGACTCTTGCTTCGCTGTAACTGTCTTTAAAATGTTTAGTTACATTTATGTTTTTCTTTTTAAAATACTCTAAATATTCAGCAAAGAAAAAGAACCAAAATCACAGATTTAAACCTCATCAAAGTGCCAGTCTATAATAATGAGTAAAATACTGGCATATGAGGGCTGACAAATTTGGTATTTGCTTGAGCAGCAGACTAAGGGATTTCTAGAAAAACTCTATATAAAATATACACAGGTACACGGGTTCTTTGGAGTAATTGCTAGGTATGCTTCTGGATAGTGTCAGGAAAAAAAGGTGGGGGAGAGGATGGTAAGGATACTCACAGCAGACAGGAGAGCCTGAAATGAAAGGTAAATGAATTTGAACGGATGGTTCATTCTGGTCCTCCATTTTAGAAAGCAAGCTCCTCTTTACTGGCTCCCTGCACTCACACACACAGGCCAGCCACGACAGAGCAGCATTTTGCCGTTGCTTCTTTCATCTACTTCAATCATCTGCCCCCACCCCCAACTTCTTCATTTTGCCTGCTTCAATCATCTATACTGCCTTCTTGCTAATTATATAACCACTGCTTTTTTTTCAGCTGTTTATTAACTTTTCTTCTTTTCTGTATCTTCTCTAGTCAACTGACCTTCCTCTTTTCTGTTTGCTGCTTCCTAGAGTTTTTTTTTTTTTCTCTTTTGTGTTATTCATATTTCTCTGCACTGCCTTTTATCTTATTCTAAATCTTCTCCTCCTTTTTATTCCCCTGCCCAATATTGTTCTTTCCCTACAGAAAAATGTTGGTACTTCAGGTACATACCACTTACATATTTTAAAATGTGTATGCTAAATAACCTTCCACACACTGGCCTCATTACCTCTGGGAAAAAAGTCAGTTTTTTCCACTACTATATTCCCTATTTCTTCTTCTTTTAAATCTTTCTCCTCCTTCTCTGGACTATGCTGAATTGCCATCATAGAATTCTAATACAGTTTCTAGTATTCTGATGTCGCAGATCCTAGGATAAAAAGCTAACTGAAGAGTGGTAGAAAGTGTTAGGATAGGCGAAAAATGGAATTTGGTTTTAATATTGCCATAACCATTAACTGACAAGTGAAAATCTCATACATGGAGGGTTCCACCAGCTTACTACTGACATTAGAGGACAGGAGCCTATCAAAATTGATCTTACAAACTAACGTGGATTTATAATTAAGTTCTTGTTTGGGCTCTTTCCTTCTCTAATTCCTTTTTCAGCTAACTGAAAAGAGGAACCGTATGGTTTCCTTATTTTAAGCAAAGTTACAAAAGAGGAAACATTTTTGGCTAAAGACAATTCATGGCTTGTATTTTCTGATGCTTTGGATAGCATTAAAATACATTTTAAAAATGAAATTCTGAAGAAATTTTTTCCATTTTTTAAAGAAGCCCCCTCCCTTTTTTTCTGTAATCTATAAGAATAATGGGTAGGAACTGCATGGATGATGACCATCTAAAGATGATTCAAATCCCTATATCTATGCCAAAAGTGTTCACATTTTCCCTTTTAAAACTTTTGCAAAATGGATAAAAAGCAGAATTTATTAATTTATATTTCACTGCCTCTGCTTATATTCTGGTAGAAGTACTAGTAAAAAGCAAAAAGTAAAATGGAAAGGAATCAAGAAGCCCAATACAGGTTAAATGTTTACTGTACTCCTAATATATAAGGCATTATACTACAAAGAAATCAAAACATAAAAACATGAGGCAATAAAGGGTAGTAAGAAGAACGTAGGCTTTGGAATCAGGTGGCCCTGGGTACAAACTCCCAATCTGTCACTTAGAGTGGTAAAACATCAGGCAAACTGTTTAACTCATTTGACGCTGTCTCTTTATCTGTAAATAAAAGATCCCCTTACCTTCCTCATAAAGTAAAGATTCAGTGAAATAAAGTATGCAAAGCTGGGACAGTATAACACATAGTATGCTCTAGATAAGTATTTTTCTTTCTCCTTTCTGCCTTCTTCAAGGTTCTTTATAATCTTGTTCGAGGAAGTAGGTATAAGAAAATGTGAAAAGTAATAAAAAATAAACAGTTACTTAAGAGAATAGAAGTGTGAGTGAGGGACATACATGAATTATGTAAGGAACCATTAAAAACAATAAATGAGAGCTAAGGGGAATTCAGTAAATGACTGATCTGTTTGGGCTGTAGTCAGTCAACGAGAACTTGGGTTAAGAAGGGGAATTTAAACTGAGGTCTGAAAGATGAGGACAGATTCAGATATGTAGCCAGAAAGAGGAAGAGGCTAGGTCTGGAAGAAGGAAAAACAAAAAACAAAAAACAAAAAACCATTGAGCATGGTAAAAAAACAGCATAAAAGGGTCTGTTTTTTGGGGGGGGGAAGCGGGTGTTTAGAAAGTATGCAAGGTGGGAAAGGGATGCATTTGGCTGGATAAGAAGTTTCAGTCATGATATGTGAATCTGGACTGGTTAACTCAAGCAAGAAGGAAGAAAACTCAATTTAGAAGTTTTATCTTAACAGGCCAGGCGTGGTGGCTCACGCCTGTAATCCCAGCATTTTGGGAGGCTGAACTGGACAGATCACTTGAGGTCAGGAGTTCGAGACCAGTTTGGACAACCTGGTGAAACCCTGCCTCTACTAAAAATACAAAAATTAGCCAGGTGTGGTGGTGCATGCCTACTGTAGTTCCAGCTACTCGGGAGGATGAGGCACAAGAATTGCTTTAACCCAGGAGGTAGAGGTTGCAGTGAAACAAGGTCATACCACTGCGCTCCAGCCTGGGTGACAGAGGAAGACTCTGTCTCAAAAAAAAAAAAAAAAAGGAAGTTTTATCTTAACAGAAAGAGAAAACCCTCAAGCAAGGGAGTAGTAACCTGATCATGGATGCTTTAAGATTAATTCAGCAGTGTGCAGGAGAGTTCAAAGGAGAACTGTTTTAAAATTTAGACTTGAATATAGGAAAAAAAAATCACATACCTTTTTTTCTACTAAAACAGGGTCATTTATCTTCACTGTGTACCAAGTGGTAGAGGAGTAAGCAATGAAAACTATTTAGATATGCTGAAAAGGTAATCTGTAAAACCTTTATTGCACCTTCCAACAGAACATCAAATCTCTCTAAATACAGGCTTATGAGTGAGAAGAACTATAGTTTCTAATCATGTATACCAATATCTAACCTCCTAAGATTTTCTATTCCCTAATGTTAAGAGATAACCAAATGGTTGCCATTGTGCTTGATGATGTGCAAAACAAGTATATTATACTAAAAGTTGCAAATTGTCTCAGTAGAACTCCTCACTTTAGAGAAAAGGCAATTGAGAACAGGAAAGGTTAAGCAACTAGTTCTCATGGTTAGATAGGTAGTTAGATGGGAGAAGTAGAACTGAAACTTAACTCTCCAAGTTTTAGCATCTACCACTTCCCAGAAAAAGCCCTACCTGCCAAACTTTCATATGTGCCTTATTTTCCTGTGCCCACATTGTTGCTCTCCCTGGCTGGAAATTTGTTTAATTAGTTCTTACAAACATTTTAAAATTCAGTTCCAGTTTTACTTCACTGAAGCCTTCCCAGGCTAGGTTAACTTCTCTGTACTTCTCCTGCATACCTTTATGAGAAAGCTTATCAAATTATTGTAATTGGGCCAGGCGTGGTGGCTCACACCTGTAATCCCAGCACATTGGGAGGTCGAGGGGGGCAGATCACCTGAGATGGTGGGGGCAGATCACATGGTGAAACTCCGTCTGTGCTAAATATACAAAAATAAGCCGGGCGTGGTGATGCGTCCCAGCTACTTGGAGGCTGAGGGAGAAGAATCACTTGAACCCGGGAGGCGGAGTTTGCAGTGAGCCCAGATCACGCCACTACATTCCAGCCTGGGTGACGACAGAGGGAGGGAGGGAGGGAGGGAGGGAGGGAGGGAGGAAGGAAGGAAGGAAGATTGTAATTATTTTTTAGGTTTTTTTTCTTTCTTCTTTTTATTTAGAGATGGGATCTCACTATGTGGTCCAGGCTGTTCTTGAACTCCTGGCCTCAATCAATCCCCCCACCTTGGCTTCCCAAAGTGCTGGGATTACAGGCATGAGCCACCACGCCTGGCTTTTACTGTTTGCTTCTACCACTAGAATCTGAAACACTTGAAGGCAGTAACTATCTTTTTTTAAATTTTTTAAAAATCTCCTAAACCTAGAACAGGGCTCCACACAAATGTGGCATTTACCAATAAATGAATGAAAGCAGCAGCAGGACTACTTGACCAACTGGATTGAATTTATTCCACCAGATTCAGAGATCACTCTAGGATTTTAAGCCTAGGACTCTGAGTTGAATTGAATCCTTTAAAAATATGCAATCTTAACATCAGGCTACCATGCTACAGAGACACTGAGGATGCTGCAAAGATTACTAATAGACTCTGTGTCTGTGCCTAAGAAACTGAGTGGTACCATTAACGGATATAGAGAAGTCGGAAGAAGAGTCCGTTGTGAGGGTAAAGATGAATTCCATTTTAAATATGTTAAATTTCCTGATAGTGGGATGGAGATATATATATATATGTGTTTATATATACACACACATATATACATACGTGTGTGTGTATATATATGTGTATATATACATAAAAACATCCACCAAGAAGTCATACAAATAGAATTAGGACAAAGAAGATGTAGACTGGAGGTAGAGATTTGGGAATTGTGGCATAAAGCTGAGAACTAAAATCTTACAGAATCAGGAAAAAAGAGAAATAGGTAAGGGTGAGGACTGAATATCAATTAACCATATTTAGAAGGCAGAAGAAAAAGAGCTAGTGAGAGTAACATGAAAGGAAGACTGATTACAAAAAGCTACTTGAATATTAGTGAAGGAACAGTAGTGACTAATGTGGTCAAGAAGGGGAGGGGAGAGAAGAAATAAAAAAAAATTGGATTAGGTAATAGATGGTCACTAGTGTTCTTCAAGGCAGGAGAATCAATATATTTCTAGTAGTAAATGGTGAAAAAAGGTAGAGAGCACATGGATCCAGCATATAGAGCCTATGCATTTTGAGAAGTATGACTGAAGTGAAGTACTGAAACATAATGAAGCTAGAGGGGCAGCAGAGCCAAGTGCAGAACTTGTATTAATAAAAGAAGAGAGACCACTGCTTATGAGGTCCAAATGCTGTATGACGGGTTAGAGTATACCCAAGAGTTGTTACACCAAGCCTACAGTGTATCAAGTCTAAATTAGGAATAATAACTACTGATCAACTACTACTAATTAGGAATAATGTCTATCTACTTTATGCCAGGCATTATAATGAAAAGTCAAATTTTTAACTAGACACCAATGACGCCTAACTGTCTTTCTCTTTCATTTTAAACCCACTATAGGTAAGGAGGAAATATTCTGAAATGGATCCCAAATATTTCATCTTAATTTTGTTTTGTGGACACCTGAACAATACATTTTTTTCAAAGACAGAGACGATTACAACAGAGAAGCAGTCACAGCCCACCTTAGTCACATCATTAATGTCACATGTATTGGCTAATTCTCAAAACACAACAGGGAATCCTTTGGGTCAACCAATGCAATTCAACGACATTTCTTCTAGACAATCAGTATCACCTGCCAAAGTCACTGCTGGACAACCAACACCAGCTGTCTATATCTCTTCTGAAAAACCAGCAGCACATACTTCTGCTGGACAACCACTTGCCTACAACACCAACCAACCAACACCAATGGCCAACACCTCCTCCCAGCAAGCTGTGTTCACCTCTGCCAGACAACTACCATCTTCCCATACTTCTACCACACAACCACCAACGCCATTTGTCTACACTTTCACTCAACAATCATCAACTGTCCAGATCCCTTCTACAAAACTAATAACACCAACGGTTCATAATCCATCCACACAACCAATATCAACTGTCAAAAATTCACCTAGGAGTACACCAGGATTTATCTTAGATGTTACCAGTAACAAACAAACTCCACAAAAAAACAATTATAATTCAACAGCTGCCATACTAATTGGTGTACTTCTGACTTCCATGTTGGTAGCTATAATCATCATTGTACTTTGGAAATGCTTAAGGAAACCAGTTTTAAATGATCCAAATTGGGCAGGTAGATCTCCATTTGCTGATGGAGAAACCCCTGACATTTGTATCGATAACATCAGAGAAAATGAAATATCCACAAAACATACCTCAGTCATTTCACTTACACCCTGGAAACCAAGCAAAAGCACACTTTTAGCAGATGACTTAGAAATTAAGTTGTCTGAATCAAGTGAAAACACTGAAGACTCCAACAACCCCAAAACAGAGAAAACAAAAGATCAAGTAAATGGTACATCAGAAGATAGTGCTGACGGATCAACAATTGGAACTGCTATTTCTTCTTCAGATGATGCAGATCTGCCTCCACCACCTCCCCTTCTGGATTTGGAAAGACAAGAAAGTAACCAATCTGACAAACCCATAATGACAATTGTATCTCCTCTTCCAAATGATTCTACTAGTTTCCCTCCATCTCTGGACTGTCTCAATCAAGACTGTGGAGATCATAAATCTGAGATAATACAATCATTTCCACCCCTGCCTGACTCACTTAACTTGCCCATGCCACCGGTAGATTTTATGAAAAATCAAGAAGATTCCAACCTTGAGATCCAGTGTCAGGAGTTCTCTATTCCTCCCAACTCTGATCAAGATCTTAATGAATCTTTGCCACCTCCACCTGCAGAACTGTTATAAATATTACAACTTGCTTTTTAACTGATCTTCCATCCTCAAATGACTCTCTTGTTTTTCTTTATATGTTAACATATACAAAATGGCAACTGATAGTCAATTTTGATTTTTATTCAGAAACTATCTGAAATCTACTCAGAGCCCATGTGCATAGATGAAACATTTTTTTAAAAAGTTATTTAACAGTAATCTATTTACTAATTATAGTTCCTATCTTTAAAGTATAGTACATTTTACAGATGTAAATGGTGTATGTTTCAATAATTTAATCACTCTGAAACAATCTACATATACTTATTATTACCCCAGTACAGTTTTTTTTTTTCCCTGAAAAGCTGTGTATAAACTTATTGTGAATAAACTTTTATGTTTCCATTTCAAAGACTGGGGTGGAGAGGAATAAGAGACTAAGTATACACTCCAAGTTTTAAATTAATACCTCAAGTATTAAATAAATATTCCAAGTTTGTGGGAATGGGAGATTAGAATGCATGTTTGAGAATACAGAAACTTTCTTCTTGGTTTCATCACGAAGAGTAAAGCAAACATGTTAAAACATCAACTGAAGGGTTGGGTTAAAGACATTTACCCTGAAAAAAATATGAGGATACATCATAAAATGTAAATATTTTCCTATCATGTCGTGGGGAGGCACAAATTTTAAAACTAGCATCTTTAAAACGTTTCTTCTTTATAAACACCCAAACAAAATCAAGTTTTATAAAGAAAAAAAAGAAAAAGAAGACTATGGTTTCATTCTAAATACGGGTGATTTTGGGTGATTTTTTTTCAGGAAAAAAGACTATCAAAACACAGATGATTCTCAACTTTTTACTAAACTTATACTTTCTGATGCTATCCACTCTTAAATCACCTTTCTTATACAGAATTTCATCTTTATCCATTATCTGACAATTGGTAAGTCTGAGTTATTAGAGTAGGAATGGGCCCAATCTTTGTCAAAGTCAAGAGTGGTCAGTAGCCTGAGATTTTGGGGATGCCAGCCTGTGTCTGCAGAAGCGCTCCTTTGCCCAACAAGCACATACTCTTCCTCATTAGTCCCATTTAACTCCAGGGGGAAACAAGCACTTAGAATAAAATGGTAGCCCAGTCTTGGAGAATCACTCAGAGTTCTGGGATTTTCAGAATAGAACATAGCATTTATTCATAGCACTGGCATTCATGACATTAACAAAGCTCCATATTTAATAAGAACCAGTAGGGTTTTGGACACATGAATTTTACGTACAATGTTTTTCCTAAAATCTTTCAAGCCATCTTTACTAACCATTAATATTTTAATCTGTAGAAACACTTCCTTGAGCTTCTTTTCCTGAATAAGCATAATACTTATTGTCATATTACATTACATCTTTTGTCTTCCTCATTAAAAAGTTTCTTTCATGTATTCTTCAAAGTTAGTACTTTTTTTTGAGACAGAGTCTCACTCTGTCACCCAGGCTGGAGTGCAGTGGCATGATCTTGGCTCACTGCAACGTCCGCCTTCTGGGTTAAAGTGATTCTCCTGCCTCAGCCTCCTGAGTATCTGGGACTACAGATGTGCAGCACCACGCCTGGCTAATTTTTTTTTTTTTTTTTAGTAGAGACGGGGTTTCACCATATTGGCCAGGCTGGTCTTAAACTCTTGCCCTCGTGATCCACCTGCCTCAGGCCCTCAAAGTGCTGGGATTACAGGTGTGAGCCACTGTGCCTGGCCCAAACTTAGTACTTTTAAAGCTAATTTCCCCAGCAGCAATCTGGAGTTGATAATTTCCTATTATTCTTTTGAATTTTAAGAATTTTTGTTATGGTAAATAAGATATGTTTTTATACTTGGCCAAGTCTTTGACATACCTTAAAACATATCATAACTCTTCTCATTTTACATTTATGACAGTTACTTAATGGGCTCTTTCCACATTTTTGTCCCTTTTTAACCACTTTCTTTCCTGAAAGAAATACCGGGAAAAATAGGGAAATACCAATTTTCTTAGATTAAACAGGAACTGATTAGTTGACCATAGTCTTGTCTGGTACCTTTAAGTACTTTAAAGGGAGCTTTTCTCTTTCTGTTCTTTGTATAACAGGACAGACTACTGGCAGCAGCTGGGTTTTTATGTTGTCTTTTTTCCTTTTTTTAAAAGAAATTATTTGCTGGGGGAAGAATAATTCACATTTAACCGCATGTAATTTTCCCCGATGAGGTCAGTGGAAGCTAAGCAGCCAAACAGTGGCAATCCTTGCTAATCAGCAGGAAGAGATACAAACTAATACATATAGGACAGAAGAAAATGCTGGAACAAAGAAAAATCTTTTAGAGAAAAGATTAAAGAACTAAGATCCAGAAGAGAAAGTTTATTACATGAATACTGCAAAAGAACAAGGCGCAGGGGAATAAAAGATTAAAGTTCACACCACATACTAGTGGGGCTCTTAACCAGAACAGCATTAACCAGAGTCAGACACAACCCTGAAGAGCATCTGGTTCAACTCCTTTTGTTTGTGAACTACTGAGAAAACAGGACCAGAGAAAGTAAGTGACATGCTTAGAAGCGGTACTAAAAGCTGAGTTTGCTCCCTGACTACTGGTTCAACACTCTTTTCACTAATATAGGACCAAAGAGCGCCTACATCATGCACTGAAACATACATATATCACGTAAGTCTTCTATTTGGTGTGAATGGTGAGGGACACAAATGAATCCAATGCGGCTGATCTTTAACTGTTGTTCTTACCTAATTCTGATCAAAAAGTAAAGTAGCACCTTTGGGAACCTATAACTAAAACATTGTGGTACTGGTATATGACTAAACAAACAGATCAATGGAACAGAAGAAAAAGTCCAGAAATAAATATCAAATCAGTGGAAACAAGCATTGGATAGACACCTGGAAAAAAGAGAAAATTTGATCCATACTTCACACTATATTAGAATAAACACCAAGGATCAGAGTTCTAAATATAAATCATGAAATTATCCAAGTAACAGAAGAAAATATGAGTGAATTCCTTTATAATCTGGAAGTGGGAAAAAACCTTCCTAGCTGAGACTCAAAATCCAGAGGCAGTAAAAAGAGAAATTATACGAAACTTTTAAATGTCATACACATGCACGTGAGCATAACCGACACACACACCTCACCATAATAAAGCCAAAAGATAAACGGCAAACTGGAAAAAAAATTAAAACTTAAATCAAGACAAAGTGCTAATACCTCTAAAATTTAAAACGCTCCTAATATGGGGCAGGAAGGGGAAAATCCAAAACACAACTTTTAATAGTGCAAAACATAAAAAAGATAGTTACAGGAGAAAACATTTAAATGGTCTTTAAACATATGTAAAGACATACACTCTCCCTCATAATTACAGAGATGCATTTAAAATTAGACGGAGACACTTGACTATCAGATGGACAACAAATCCCAAAGTTCCACAACAAAGGATACAGTGAGGCTGTATAGAACTGGACACCCCGCTACACTGTTGGTGGGACTGCAAAATGGTATAATCAATGGAGAGAAATTTAGTAATGTCTGGAAAAATTCCAAATGCATTTACCCTTTTACCCAGCAATCCTACTTGTAGGAATCGTTTTCAAAGATTTACTGGCAAACATATAAAATTACTTAGGTACAATGGTATTCACTGTGGCATTATTTGTAATAGCAAAAGTCTGAAAAAAACCTAGATGTACACCAATAGGGGACTGGTTGAATAAGCCATGGTACATTCCCAAATGGAGTACTATGGATCAAAAAATGAATCAGATACCTATATACTGATATGGAGTGATAAGATACAGTAAGAAAAAAAGAACAAGATATCTAACAGTATGTATGTATATATATATCACCTTTTATATTAGAAGGGGGGATAAGAACATACCATACATATGCTTAAATACATTTTTTTAGGTTTTCAAAAAGAAAGGTTAATGATATAATGAAAAGCTAATAAAAAGTCACTAATAGGAGAAGGAAGGAAACAGGATGGAAAAGACAGAGAAGCAAGATTTATCTGAATATACCTTGTTATATAATTTTGACTTGTGATCCTGAAAAGCTGAAAACTAAAACAAAGTTTATATCAAGTTGGTGATATAAAAATATAGAGAAAAGAATTATTTCACATTGCATTAGAACACAGAATTTACTATACACTTTTAGGAAAATAAAACAAGCAGAACTATGAAGAAATTTTAAACTTTATTCGGTAGTCTATAATCTAATTGTAGCAGTCAATGCTGGCATTATTTTGAAATTACTGAGAGATGATGCAAATAAGTAATTATATCAATGATATTAGGAACCACTTAGAGAAAATATGGGGGACAGAAGAACGAATTAAATCTTCCCAAAGAGGCAAAGAGAAAACTCCAAGATGAGAGACATTTTAGGAAATAATTGAGTTTTGGCAACAAGCCAGTGGCATAAAGTGAAAAAGGATTAGGGAGGTGGGCAAAGAAACTGATTCACTTGGATTTTGACTTGGTAATTTCTATGTTGTTCTTTCATGCTTTTAAAATACTGTATTGAGTACTCTCAGTTGTATTCAGCAGGAAAATCAGTCTAAATAGCCAACCATATTACCAAAAATAAACAATATCTGACACTCAAGCATAGCAAATGTTATCTCTAATAATGGAAAACTGAAACCAGTGATTAGCGTGGGATAGTTATTCCCTGGCAGATGCTTTGTGATACCTTTCACAATGTTGGGCTAATATATTCTAGGACACAAAAGAATCTGTAAATTAATTCACTGCTTAACCTAGAATGTAAAAGTTGCCTAACTAGCTATCATTACTGACCTAGACAGACTAATATAAAATGTAATGAGTCTGAATAATACTTAAAATAAGTTGTAACAAATACTTATGCCTCTAAAAAGTATTTTTTGAGTAACAGTAATATAGTATTATTTTATTTCATGAGAATTTCTAAAAGTGTAAGAGACTGTTACAATTCAAATATGTTGAAATGATCTCCCTTTTTCTTTTTGAGAATTTTACAATATCTTTGAATAATATGAAGCAATTTGGTATGCCCCAAACTTGAAATGAGAAATACTGCCACTACTATTGTGTTGGAATTTTCTATTATATGCAACAGAAACTAAACTTGATACAGCCTAAACCCAAATTCATTTGAATCCATTAATGAAGTAACATGTCCTTTCTTTCAAACAAAAGTACTGTTAAGTGTAATGAAAATGCATAACTGTACTTCCACATTGACTTAATGAGGTTTCCTAAAATTAAGAGATTTAAGTGGTCGGTAAATTGACCCTCAGTCACATCTTTAGAAGTGCAGCAGTGTATATATGAGCTTAAACAGAACTCTAAATGTCAATGCATTCCTTATTTCCACAATATTGCTGAATGTAGTATTTTTAACATACTATTTTAAGCACTACAAATGATGGCTGGTTTTCTAAATCCACAGTAAGAATCTCATTAAGAGTTCAACTGAACCCTCAAAGTAAAGTGGCAATAAAGTACCTAATCAACAATAAATTTCTATGTTGCAGACTTTTAAAATATAGACACTTTTCGAGCAATATTAGTTTTATACAAAAGGTGGCTCCTCGAGTGTAATTTCTCTTGTAAGAAAATAAACTTCAATTAAAAGAACTAGAGAAGCAAGAGCAAACACATTCAAAAGCTAGCAGAAGGCAATAAATAACTAAGATCAGAGCAGAACTGAAGGAGATAGAGACACAAAAAAACCTACCTGAAATAGTCAGATGAACGTCCAGCGAGTGGTCGTTTGAGATAAATAACGAAGAAAGTTGATTAGACCACTAGCAAGCGGTATAAAAAGAAAGAGAGAAGAATCATAGCGGCAATAAAAGATGATAAGGGATAGTCACAGCGACCCCACGAAGTACACAATACATCAGAGGAATACTATAAACACTCTCGCAAAGTAAACTAGAAAATCTAGAGAGAAAGGGATAATTTCCCTGGACATTACATACTCTCCCAGAGACGTAAACCAGGGAGAAGCGTGGATATTGAAACTAGACGATAAGAGGCTTTGGTAAATTGAGTTAATAATTACGCACACCTAAACCAAAAAAAAGTCCAGGACGCAGACAGATTCACAGCGATTTCTCACGGAGGGTAAAGGGAAGAGTGAGTACAGTTCTGTCGAAAACTATTGCCAATCAATAGAAGAAAGAGGGAATCCGCTCCGTAAGCGCTATTTTACGGAGGCCAAACATTTATCCTGATACAAAGCGCTGATAGAGACAGCAACCAAAAAAGGAGAGATTTGTAGACCAGTATCCTGCGAATGAAGCTTGATGGCAAAATGCCTCAGATAAAATACTGGCAGAAACCAATCCGAGCAGCACATCAAAAGCTTACTGCTACCGATGATCAAGTGGGCTTATCTGACTGGGGATGCAAGGCTGGTTAACAGAACGAATCGAATAAATGTGAACCCGGCATATAACAGAACCAAAGACAAAACCACATGATTATTATCCAGTAGAGGGAAAAGGCCTTGGCGCAAAGGATTCAAAGCCCTCATGCTAAAAACGTTTCATTAATTCGGGATATGATGGATGGTAATCTCAAGAATAAACGGAGCGTATCCCGGTATGTTATGACAAACGCCAAGTCAGATTCATTGCTGAATGGGCAAACTGAATAGCATGTTCCTTTGGAAAAACTGCATAAGCCCAGGGATGCCTCCTCGTGCACTCCATATTACATGAGTGTTGGAAGTTTTCTGTTGGGTCGGGTCGAGATCTAGGCAGATGAAAGAGGTATCAAGGTTATGTCAGGTAGGGTAAAGGAGTAGTCGTATGAAGTTTCCGCTTCGTGTTTGTCAGGTGAGATTGTGTGTTATATGTTAGTTTAGAAAATCATTGTTCACTATATTAAGATTCTTCTGTTAGTGTAGTTAGATTCCTATGCGTTCAGCAGAAGGTGTTTTCTAGGATACATAATATATGTGCAAAAATCAAAGCTCTTATATGACGACCCAGTGTACCAGGACAAACAGAGCCCAAAGCCATGAGTGAACCTCCCATTTCGACAATAGCTTCATGGAATAAAATACCTTAGAGATAAAGCTTACAAGGGATGTAAACGGACTCTTCAAGAGGAATACAAACCCTGCTCAGTGAATAAGAGGAAAAACAGAATGGAAGACAATTTCCATGCTCGATGGATTAGGAAGAATCGAATTCGTGAAATGGTCATAGGCCAACGCGCGCCCGTAATTTATAGGGATTCAATGCCATCCCCCGATTAGTATAATGACGTTTACGAGGAATTGGAAAAAACTGCCTGTCTAACAGTCTATATGGACCAAAAAAGACCCCCCCGCAACTGCCAAGACAATACTAAGTCAGAGAACAAGCTGGAGCATCACGATAACCTGACTCAAAATGATACTACAAGCTACAGGTATACAAAAGCATCGGTATTGGTACCAAGAAACAGACGATATAGACGCGAATGGAACAGAACAGCAGTCCTCAGAAGATAATACACACAATCTTACACATTGATCTTTGACAACTGACCCAAAGAACAAGAAATGGGAAAGGATTCCCTTATTTCTAACGCCTGGTGTGGAAACAATTGGCTAGCCATAGTAGAAGCTGAACTGGATGTTTTCCTACGTCGACTTATATGAAAGATGTAATTCCAGATGGGATTAGAGACTAAATGTTAGACCTAAAAGCATAAAACGCCCTAGGAAGGAAAACCGTCTAGGTAACCTTGCAGGGAAATAGGGCATGGCGAAGGACTTTCATGTCTAAACACAAAAGGGGCAAGCGGCAACAAAAGTCAGAGAATTTGACGAAATGGGATTAATTAAGAACTAAAGAGATTGCTGCAGCGCAGCAAAACAGGGAATGACCATCCAGGGTTGAACAAGCTGAACTTTACCAGAATGGGGGAGTAGAATTGTTTGGCATGGTGGATATTGACGAAAGGAAGAGCGAACCTAGTAAAGAGAGAACTAATCGAGAATATTACAGAAGAAGGGGGAAAAAAAAACCGGGCAAAGCCGCAGGAGGTGACGCGCGCGGGCCCAAAAGGATATGGAACAAGAACTCTCGAAAGAAGGACAGGTAGTGCAGCCAAAGAACACATGAAAAAATGTCGTTCACTCAGCCGATAGGAGGAATGCAAATCAAAACACAATGAGATACATTCACACCAAAGTGAATGAGCAATCATTAAAAAAATTCAGGAAAACAGGTGCTGGGGAGGATGTGGGGAGAATTAGGACACACTTTTACCCACTGTTGGTGGGGACTGTAAAGCTGTGTTCAACGATTGTGGAAAGACAGTGTGGTGATTCTAAGAGGATCTTTAGGAACGTGTAGAAGTAAGTGTTACCCATCCATCATGGATTACTGAGGGGATAGTACCCAAAAGGATTATAAGTCAGGTGCGTAATAAGAGACACAGCAGCACGTAGCGCACTAGTTATGTGACACTATTCACATAGGCCCAAAGACTTGAATCGCAAGATCCAAATGTCCATCCCAGTGACAGAGGTTAGAAGATGTGGCACATAGACGCGCGCATGGAATACTATGAGCCAGTAAAAAACGAGGATGAGTTCGTGTCCTTTGTAGGGACATGGATGCAGCTGGAAACCATCATTCTCAGCAAACTATTGCAGGAACAGAAAACCAAACACCACATGTTCTCACTCACAGGTGGGAACTGAATAATGAGATCACTTGGACACAGGAAGTGGAGCATCACACACCTATTGTGGGGAGGGGGTAGGGGGGAAGGATAGCATTAGGAGATAATACCTAAGGTAAATGACGAGTTAATGGGTGCAGCACACCAACAAGGCACATGTATACATATGTAACAAACCTGCACGTTGTGCACCTGTACCCTAGAACTTAAAGTATAATAGTATTATGAAAAAAAAAAAGAAGGCCGGGCGCGGTGGCTCAAGCCTGTAATCCCAGCACTTTGGGAGGCCAAGACGGGTGGATCACGAGGTCAGGAGATCGAGACCATCCTGGCTAACACGGTGAAACCCCGTCTCTACTAAAAAAAAAAAAATACAAAAAACTAGCCGGGTGAGGTGGCGGGCACCTGTAGTCCCAGCTACTCGGGAGGCTGAGGCAGGAGAATGGCGTAAACCCAGGAGGCGGAGCTTGCAGTGAGCTGAGATCTGGCCACTGCACTCCAGCCTGGGCGAAAGAGCGAGACTCCGCCTAAAAAAAAAAAAAGAAAAAGAAAAAAGAAAATAAACTTCAAATTTTAATACAACAAATTCTATTTGTGGTATAATCTAAATAATGCTAATATAATTTAGAGAAAAAACAAATGATTTAGTAACAAGGCATAAAGGGATTTTCCTTACATATAATATGCTAAATATTACTCATTTTTAAATGGTGCCACTTGGTAACGAAATACCATAACTTTATTTGGTTGCTTTAAAGTAAACTGGCCATTCTGGAAATCAGATTTGTGTTTTAACAGATTTATGCAAGCAGTCCACTGAAGAGTGGAGCAAAATTTATCATAAATTTGACCTCATTTTATAAAATTCATGATGAAAAATTTTCCTCTTACATTATTTCATGTAATTTTAAAACTATAAACTACTTTCCCAGAAAGCTGAAATGTGCAATACTCTGAAATCGCCTAAATTGATACTGTTATTCTTAAAACATAAAATCAAATAAATGGCCATTCATATAGCACCAAAAATGTCTTTGGAAAAAACAATACTCATATCCACTTACTATCCAAGGTTTCATAAAGAAAAAAAACTTTAACCCCAAATATATAAAATAAAACATGTTTATTTTACCATAGGAAGTGATAATCTATAAAGTATAAGATGCTAATTTCCAAATGTATCCTGGCTTGTGTATAGCCTTGGTCAAATGATCCATTGTATCAGAAAGATAAAGAAAAAATAATCATATTTCAGTAATTCTATACATCCTAAGAGGGAAGATGGCACATTTAAGTGGTTGATAAATTTGAAAAGCTGATTAAACATAATAATCACCATGTTGGAGGAAGACATAAAAATCAGAGAACAGATTTTTTTAATATTAAAAATGTGACATGAAAATTATACCATTTTAGAAAGGAATATAAAAAGGCAGGAGTTAAAAATAGTGGGACTAATATCATAGAAAACTATCCATGAGGAAGGTCAAATTCATTTTCAACATGTAAAAAGGATAAAGAGTAGAGGTATTTAAAAAGATTCTTAATGAGACAAATGTTAAAATATGGAACCCAATCTCAGACAAATACATAGAAAGGAGTAAGGGCCAACTCTAATGTGCATAAGGTATCCCATCCTATAGCAAATCAGATATATAGGTACACTTGATGCCGTAAATTTTTTAAAAAATTGTCCATTTTGTTGCGTGTGCACCATAAATTTGAGTCAGCACCAGCGACAGCTCTGCAGTCCTCCTATGTGGTACTGATCAGGTGGTTGCAGAGCTTCAGCTCACAGCAACACAATGCAGCTGAGCAGGCAAGCACAGCCCACAGCCAGAAACAGTTCCGACTCTCCAGAACAAGACGACCTTTAAGCTTTAAGTTTCCCAGAGAAAATGAGATGCTGATGTTGAAGACGACACTACGGTAAGATGTTATTTAAATCAGTAAAAGGCTGACTTTGGAATCTTTTTCCTTTTTAAGAAAAAGTCAACGTTAAGATTAAATATATATTCAATAGCAAGTGCATGCACCAGAAATTTGCTGCAGTGTCAGTTGAGGGATATTTTTTATATATTCATTCACTTTGTAAATATATTGTTTTCCTTTAAAATGGGCACTGAAATATATAGAAAAAACCACTTTATAAAATGTGAGGTTTATAGGTACAGTGTTGGTCTGGATTTTTCAAGTGCCTTTTACAAAGATATATTTATCCTAAAAACAAAAAGATAACATTTCAAAGAACTGCTTTAATATCTAAATAAAATCTACCCTATACACACACATTGAATTACATTACTGCAGAGATTAAAAAAAAAAAGACACGACAGCCATTTTTTCTCATCTGAGTAAGAAAGCATATCATCAAAAATAGTAATAGCTTACAACTGCAACTCTTTATTTGCAAAGAATGCTATTTTATCATATTAAGGCTCTAGAAAGATAAATAAGAAAGAATATGGTTAGAAAAGGGGGGAGGGGGAGAGAAAATAAAGGAGAAAATGCAGGAGAGAGTAGGGAGAGAGTCTCTCTCTACCACATAGCCCAATTGAAGGATTAAGCATTTGGACTATAAATGAAGGGGAGCTTTGTTAGTTTAATCACTGGAACAATTATAAAAGGACTCAACAACAACGAGGTTTATTGAAAATTTTGCCTAATGCTAAGTGACCCATGCAGATGCCTAAACTGTATTTGCATATTAAAAGAAGGGTGTATCTGTTTGTTTCTAGGCTTTGATGGAATATCAGATATTGAAAATGTCTCTCTGCCTGTTCATCCTTCTGTTTCTCACACCTGGTATTTTATGCATTTGTCCTCTGCAATGTATATGCACAGAAAGGCACAGGCATGTGGACTGTTCAGGTAGAAACTTGACTACATTACCATCTGGACTGCAAGAGAATATTATACATTTAAACTTGTCTTATAACCACTTTACTGATCTGCATAACCAGTTAACCCAATATACCAATCTGAGGACCCTGGACATTTCAAACAACAGGCTTGAAAGCCTGCCTGCTCAGTTACCTCGGTCTCTGTGGAACATGTCTGCTGCTAACAACAACATTAAACTTCTTGACAAATCTGATACTGCTTATCAGTGGAATCTTAAATATCTGGATGTTTCTAAGAATATGCTGGAAAAGGTTGTTCTCATTAAAAATACACTAAGAAGTCTTGAGGTTCTCAACCTCAGTAGTAACAAACTTTGGACAGTTCCAACCAACATGCCCTTCAAACTACATATCGTGGACCTGTCTAATAATTCTTTGACACAAATCCTTCCAGGTACATTAATAAACCTGACAAATCTCACGCATCTCTACCTGCACAACAATAAGTTCACATTCATTCCAGACCAATCTTTTGACCAGCTCTTTCAGTTGCAAGAGATAACCCTTTACAATAACAGGTGGTCATGTGACCATAAACAAAACATTACTTACTTACTGAAGTGGATGATGGAAACAAAAGCCCAAGTGATAGGGACTCCATGTTCTACCCAAATATCATCTTTAAAGGAACATAACATATATCCCACACCTTCTGGATTTACCTCAAGCTTATTCACTGTAAGTGGGATGCAGACAGTGGACACCATTAACTCTCTGAGTGTGGTAACTCAACCCAAAGTGACCAAAATCCCCAAACAATATCGAACAAAGGAAACAACGTTTGGTGCCACTCTAAGCAAAGACACCACCTTTACTAGCACTGATAAGGCTTTTGTGCCCTATCCAGAAGATACATCCACAGAGACTATCAATTCACATGAAGCAGCAGCTGCAACTCTAACTATTCATCTCCAAGATGGAATGGTTACAAACACAAGCCTCACTAGCTCAACAAAATCATCCCCAACACCCATGACCCTAAGTATCACTAGTGGCATGCCAAATAATTTCTCTGAAATGCCTCAACAAAGCACAACCCTTAACTTACGGAGGGAAGAGACAACCACAAACGTAAAGACTCAATTACCTTCTGTGGCAAATGCTTGGAAAGTAAATGCTTCATTTCTCTTAATGCTCAATGTTGTGGTCATGCTGGCTGTCTGAGGGTCTGCATTTTCTGAAACTAATGAAAGCACTCCTCCCTGATGTACAGTTGGGAAAATATGTCCATATCTAACCAGTGATTCAAGCTATATTAAGTATTCAAGAAAGCCAGTCTTAACATTTCTGACTCTGATGTAAATGAAGTAACTTGTCTTAAATAAAAGAAATGCACAATGCCTTGGTACTTGCTGCTATTTTACTGTCTTAATTAAGTAAACTAATGAGTTTCTTTTATAAAAAAATGTTTTCTTTTTAAGGCTTCAATTTATTGCACAAAATATAAAGCATCTAAACTTTAATATGTATTTTATGTATGTTTACACTGTCAAACATCTGGAAAATAAAAGGTCTATGCTCATAACTGTGTCATTTGGCTTTCTAGTCATATCAACTTTATCAGAATAAAAATGACCTCACCATTTTTGTTCTAGGGTACCTTGGTAAAATCTTTAAGGTAAATAGAACGGTGGTAGTATCCAAGGATTTTGTCACTGAAGTAAAATCGCAGCTGCCATCCCATGAACGGTTATATTACATTATTATTTTACAGACAAGTCATAATTGTTTTAAATCTAAATGATGTCCTGCTTCTGAGGAACTCTTGGCTACTTTACAGATTATATAATGGACAAAAGCTCTTCAAAAAGCTAGAAGACACTAGGCTTTGCATTTTAATAAGAAAAGTTTAATGGTTTTGTTTTTTGCATGTAAAAAAAAGTGTTAAAACCACAATGAAAAAATTTAAAAACACGTAAAGAAGCAGTTTTAGTGCAGATTTAACACATCATTAATGGAAAATTTAAATATTTATAAAATTAAAATCCTACTACATGAAGGAGAAGAAAATTTGTATTTTGCAAATCAGAAATCAGAATGTGACTTACCTAAATTAAACATAAGATTAGCTTAAGAATAAAATCATTGAGTCTGACCAACTTGGGCAGTACTGAGGGAGGAAGAGAGGAAGGAGAGAGAGAAAGGGAAAAGGGCATTTGGTACTACAACCAGGTGTTGAACCCAATAAAACAGACTGAGGACTAAGGCTAGGCATGGGACAGATCTTGACACTCCAAATCAAACCACACTGGAACTCCAACTAAAAGATAATCACTGAGAAATTTTCTACAAATATGAAAGTTAGCCACCTTATGAATTAGTAACAAACATAAGAAACAGCCACAAGGCAGCAAAAGAAGTCCTGAAACAGGATAGATTAAAATGCAAGATAGGAAAACTGAGATGGATGAGACACAAATGTGGTATTTAATTTGTGAGACGTAAGGCAGAATCTCATTTCAAGCATTCCTAGAGGTGGGAAAAAACTATAGAAAGGAATTTTTATGTTCCTTCATAAAAACTTTTAAAAATTCAGATAGCCTCCTTTGCTGGTTTAGGAACATTTCTACTGAGAGAGAGAAAAGTAACAACATTTTAATGTGGTTTTTTTTTTTTTTTTTTTTTTTTTTTTTTTTAAAGACCAGGATTATGGAAAAATTACCATCAAGCTTCAACAAAAGAGTCCTCTTTTACGCTATCTAGTACAGTGGCTCTTGAACATTTTCTGCCCTAGCAAACCTGATTGGCTCACTGTGTCAGGGAATGTCACCATGAAGAAACAGGATTATTTGAAAAAGTCCCCTAAATGATTTTAAAATGTATTACCTCTCTATATGGGGAGGCTATCTCCACTCCCTCCCAAACACTGATTAGTACCTTCACCATCCATGATAGGGACTAATTGCTTAGATAATCCCTACTCTACCATATACTTGTGTATTATTTAAAAAAACATATACACCGACTTCCACAGAAAGTAGTTTTTTTTTTTTTTTTTTTTTTGAGACGAAGTCTAGCTCTTATCCCCCAGGCTGGAGTGCAATGGCGCAATCTCGGCTCACTGCAACCTCCCTCTCCCGGGTTCAAGCAATTCTCCTGCCTCAGCCTCCCAAGTATCTGGGATTACAGACACCTGCCAACACACCCGACTAATTTTAGTATTTTCAGTAGAGATGGGGCTTCACCATGTTGGCCAGGCTGGTCTCAAACTCCTGACCTCAGGTGATTTGCCTGCCTCGGCCTCCCAAAGTTCTGGGATTACAGGCATGAGCCACCGTGCCCACCCAGAAAGTAGGTTTCTTAGAGGTAACTGTCTTTTCCTCTGAGGATACCAAAAATTCAATGCTGTCTTAGAATTTTTAGGGAGAAAACTAATAAGAAAGTCAAATTACGGACTACTGCATTAGGAGCACCTATGGATGATGTCAACCCTACAGACATGTCTGCAAAATGCATAGTCTAACTTGGTAAATTTACAAGTACAATATATGTCAACTACTCAGACTCTAGGTCCTTAGACAGAAGTATTATCTAGCCTTAAAGTAAAGTTGACCCTTGAACAACATGGGCACACTTATAATTTTTTTCAACCAAACGCAGATTGAAAGTATAGTATTTGTGGGATGTGAAACCCACATACTGTATAAATAGGTTCCATAAGGAAGCACATTCCTCAGGGCCGATTTTGGGATTCGAATATGTGCAGATTTTGGTATACACAGGGGTCTGCTAACCAATCCCCGAGATATACTGAGGGAAACTATAATTAGATAGTATTCCCTTCCAAAGAAATTGTATTCTTATTATTAACAGAAAAAGGCTCATTATTTGCCACTAAGTACTACTATATTACTGGCTCCAGAAAAATTTCAAAATGTATTAGTCCTCAGCATCTATCTCTCAAGCACATCAAATATGTATGCATATGTGTACAGATATACACATACCTATATACACATATATCTATATCTATCTCCACCCATCCATCCCTAAGGCTTGGCTCTACTTTACAGGCAATTTGCCTCTGCCACTTCTCAGCTGTATGACCATAGACAAGTTATTTCACTGCTCTAAGTCACAGTTTCCTCATCTATAAAATGGGCTAGCAGAACTCACAGTGTTTTATTTTTTCTGAAGATTAAATAACATAATTCACATAAACCCTTCAAAGTGTCTTGGCTCACCTATATTCCTAGATGCAGTAATGTTGTTGTTGTGAGGATTATTATGACATCTGTATGTCCAAACCCAATGCTATGAGAAATTCCCATATATGGAAACATTTCAGCTCTACATACTGAAAGCAAGGGAATGCAAGGATGTGCTTGCTTTAGTCTCTTCTCTGCTAGAAACCAGGTTTAGATCAGTGAAATAGGGACCCAGAAGAAAGTCAGAAAGACATTCACTTATCACAGCAGAATGAGAAGATGTCTTCTATGGCTAACTTAAAAGATCACAAATATGTGCTATTCAGTATCTTCCATAATGATGCTATCAAACAACAGCAAATTCCTTTAATCCCAAAAATGTCAGACAAGAGTTAACCTAAAATCTTTCATAAAATTATTCCTTATAAAATATATTTTAAGAACTAGATAAAAGAATGTATTACACACTACCACCCAACATCTTGTTGGTGAAGAGTAACTTATATTTCTATTAAAATCACAATCAAAACAAGGATGCCCACTATTGCCAATCTTTTTAACAATATTTGGGAAATTTCAAAACAAAAAAAACCCAGAAATAACAGATATTGGCAACAAATAATTAGAAAATTATGGGAAAAAATATACAATGTCAAGAAGTAACATTAACATGAAATATGCAGGATCAAAAGGGAAAAATCTGAAAAATATTAATGAGAAGTATAAACTAAGACTTGATGCAGATGACAAACTAAGGTCTCTCCATTCATTCATTCTTTCACTCAACAAATATTTAGTCAGCACCTGGAACATATCGAACACTAAGGTACAGAGGACTTCGGTGGGATACTATAAAGTTGCAATTATTTCTAGTATAGTTTATAGATTAAGGCAATTCTGAAAAATATTCCAATGAGAAACATTTTGGAACCTTAAATCCACTTAGAAACATAAGCAAGAATAGAAAAAGAAGTAAACACTACAGTTATATTAGCCTATTTATTTATTTATTTCATACAGAGTCTTGCTCTGTTACCCAGGCTAGAATGCAGTGGTGCGATCTTGGCTCACTGCATCCTCCACTTCCTGGGTTCAAGCAATTCTTCTGCTTCAGCCTCCTGAGTAGCTAAGGCTACAGGTGTGTGCCACCACGCCCGGCTAATTTTTGTATTTTTAGTAGAGATCGGGTTTCACCATGTTGGCCAGGCTGGTCTTGAACTCCTGACCTCAGGTGATCTGCTTGCCTCGGCCTCCCAAAGTGCTGGGATTTCAGACGTGAGCCACCATGCCCAGCTGATATTAGCTTTTCTTGAGAGAGAAACATATATCAGCCATAATAATTAGTACAGAATGATAGTGGCATAAAAATAGATAACCACAATACAGAAACAACAGCACAATGAGAGCGCAGGTACACAGAAGAACTGAATATGTGACCAAGCTTTACTTACTAGCTGTGTCACTTCAGCAAATTAGGTTTCTGTGCCTCTATTTCCTTACAGGGTTGTTGTGAGAAGAAAATGAGAAAATACAGATAAAGTGTTTAGAACACTGCCTAGCACACAGTAAATTCTCAAACATTGTTTGCTGTGGAAAGAAAAATCAGAAACCAAAGGGGAAGAGAAAGACTCAATAAATGAGATGAGGAAATTGGAAAAAAGTTCAGTTTAACACTCACTTCATGTGATACACTGACAAAGTGAAAGAAAACATGAACAAGGAAGTCATAAAACCAGCAGAAGAATTCAAAAATATTTGTAAGTCTTCAGGTGGAAGGCTATTTAATTATAAAAAAAATCACAAAGAAATTATCAACAGATTGGTCTATACAAAATCCCCATTATGCTGAAACAACCAGCCTGATAAAAATATTCAAATAAAATGGTGTAAAGGAGGTTGTTAATCAGGAGCTCATAAAATTGATGAGAAAAAAATCTTAAAATTCGCAATAAATAAATGGGCAAAGGACATAAAAAGAATGTTTACAAGATATGAAACACTATGATTAATATATGGGAATATGGCCAACCACATAATTGAGAAAAGCAATAAAAATGTGATATCATTTCTCACTATTAAAATAGCAAGCAATTAAAAAAAATAAAAACCAACGATGGGGAAGGTAGAATGAAATGGCCATGTTCACATATTGGCACAATTCTTTGGGAAAGCAATCTGGCAATGAAATTTAAAAAAAGTAAGATATTTTAACTTTTGTCTACAGTTAAAGTATTTAAAATTTCGCCTATAGGTAAATCACAGCATTCTTTCTAACAAGAAAAACTGAAACAATGATAAATATCCACTATTGGGAAATTAAGTAAACGATGACCCACTGACCAGAATATGTGGCCAATAAAAATATTTATGAAGAGTTTTTTAAAGTGTGAAATGTGGGAAATGCAAATATTAGAAAAATAAGAAAAAATTACAGGACATAGAGCCATGTATTAAAAAGTAACAAAAAGAAACATGCCAAAATGCTAATACTGCAGACCAAGCATATATTATTACCTGCCTTGTCCTTGAAATAGCCAAGAGATCTAAGAAAAGAACTATTGAAATGTTTGTCTAGGGCATCCAGACTGAGTAAGAAAATAAGAGAAGAAAGAAGACACAAATGAACTGTGTACCAACCTTTCCCTTTCAATAATTTCTCGTATCTCAGAATAAAATCTAAATTCTTAATATGGTTTACTGCATGATCAGGGTCTTGCTTCCCTTTAGAGTATCATCTTAAAATTTTCCAGCTCTCTAACATTTTATAGTTCAAACAAACAAAATATCCTCTGCCCCTCAATCACCATGTTTCGTGTCACTAGGCTTTCAGAGAAGCTGCATGTCCTCTCTTCCTCTTCTTGACCTCTCAAACCCTACTCATCCTTTTGATTTCAGCTTAGACATTACTTGCCCCTAGAAGTTTGGTTTTTTTTGACCATCTTTATCCGTGTTTATAAATAAAAGAATGAATTAACATAGATCAAAGATGTGACTAGTGGACTAACAATGACCTACTTAGGTCAGACCAAGTCAAACCTGATAGTCTTATTCTAGAGTCTAAGTTTCTTTCATTTATTTCAAAGTTACAGCTTCAAAGTCCTGAGAAAAGAGAGATCAAAGAAAAGGTCAGAATGAGGGAGGATTTGGCTAGGCTACTACTAGTCATATAAGAAACTAGTTCTGGGTCAGGCACCACGGCTCATGCCTGTAACCTCAATAATTTGGGAGGCCAAGGTGGGCCGATCATTTGAGGTCAGGAGTTCGAGACCAGCCTGGTCAACATGATGAAACCCTATCGCTACTAAAAATATAAAAATTAGTTGGCCATGGTGGCAGGCACCTATAATCCTAGCTACTCAGGAGACCGAGGCAGGAGAATCACTTGAACCCGGGAGGCGGACGTTGCAGTGAGCCAAGGTCGCGCCACTGCACTCCAGCCTGGGTGACAAGAACAAGACTCTGTCTCCCCCTCAAAAAAAAAACAA